AGTTAGCAAAAGCAAGACCAGGAGCTGACTGTGGCTCAGATCATGAACTCCTTATTGCAAAATTCAGACTTAAATTGAAGGACGTAGGGAAAACCACTAGGCCATTCAGGTATGACCAAACTCTGATCTGTTATAATTATACAGTGGAAGTGACAAATAGATTCACGGGATTAAATCTGATAGAGTGCCTGAAGAACTATGAATGGCAGTTTGTAACATTATACACGAGGCGGTGATCAAAACCATCCCCATGAGAAGGAAATGCGAAAAGGCAAAATGGTTGTCTGAGGAGGCCTTACAAATAGCTGAGGAAAAAAAGGGAAGTGAAAGGCAAAGGAGAAAAGGAAAGATATATCCATCTGGATGTAGAGTTCCAAAGAATAGCAAGGAGAGATAAGAAAGCCTTCCTCACTGATCAATGCAAAGAAATAGAGGAAAACAATAGAATGGGAAAGACTGACGATCTCTTCAAGAAAATTAGAGATACCAAGGGGACATTTCATGCAAAGGTGGACACAGTAAAGTGCAGAAACGGTATGGACCTAACAGAAGCAGAAGATATTAAGAAGACGTGGCAAGAATACACAGAAGAACTATATCAAAAAAGATCTTCATGACCCACATAACCACGATGGTGTGATCATTCATCTAGAGCCAGACACCCTAGAAGGCAGAGTCAAGTGGACCTTAGGAAACATAACTACGAACAATGCTAGTGGAGGTGATGGAATTCCAGTTGAGCTATTTCAAATCCTAAAAGATGATGCTGTGAAAGTGCTGCACTCAATATTCCAGCAAATCTGGAAAACTCAGCAGTGGCCACAGGACTGGAAAAGGTCAGTTTTCATTCCAATCCCAAAGAAAGGCAATGCCAAAGAATGTACAAACTAATACAGAATTGCACTCATTTTACACACTAGCAAGATAATGATGAAAATTTCCAAGCAAGGCTCCAACAGTACATGAATCAAGAACTTCCAGATGTTCAAGCTGGATTTAGAAAAGTCAGAGGAACCAGAGATCCAATTGCCAACATCCATTGAATCATAATAAAAGCAAGAGAGTTCCAGAAAAACATCTACTTCTGCTTCATTGACTATGCCAAAGCCTTTGACTGTGTGGATCACAGCAAACTGGAAAATTCTTCAAGAGATGGGAATACCAGACCACCTGACCTGCCTCCTGCGAACCTGTGTGCAGGTCAAGAAGCAGCGGTTAGAACCAGACGTGAAACAACAGACTGGTTCAAAATCGGGAAAGGAGTACATCAAGGCTGTATATTGTCACCCTGCTTATTTAACGTATATGCAGAGTACAGCATGAGAAATGCTAGGCTAGGATCAAGATAGCTGGGAGGATTATCAATAACCTCAAATATGCAGATGACACTGCACTTACGGCAGAAAGTGAAGAGGAATTAAAGCGCCTCTTGATGAAGGTTAAAGAGGAGAATGAAAACGCTGGCCTAAAACGCAGCATTCAGAAAACTAAGATCATGGCATCAGGTCCCATCACTTCATTGCAAATACGGGGAAACAATGGAAACAGTGACAGACTTGATTTTCTTGGGCTCCAAAATCACTGTAGATGGTGACTACAGCCATGAAATTAAAAGATGCATGCTCCTTAGAAGAAAAGCTATGACCAACCTAGACAGCGTATTAAAAATCAGAGGCATTACTTTTCTGACAAAGGTCCATCTAGTCAAATCTATGGTTTTTCTAGTGGTCATATATGGATATAAGATTTGGAGTGTTAAGAAGGCCAAGCACTGAAGAATTGATGCTTTTGAAGTGTGATGTTGGAGGAGACTCTTGACAGCTCTTTGAACTGCATGGAGATCAAACCAGTCAATCCTAAAGGAAATCAGTCTTGAATATTCATTGGAAGGACTGATGCTGAAGCTGAAGCTCCAGTACTTTGGCCATGTGATGCGAAGAGCTGACTCATTGGAAAAGACCCTGATGCTGGGAAAGATTGAAGGCACGAGGAGAAGGGGACGACAGAGGATGAGATGGTTGGATGGCATCACCAACTTAATGGACATTAGTTTGAGCAAGCTCTGGGAGTTGGTGAAGGACAGGGAAGCCTGGCCTGCTGTAGTTTATGGGATTGCAAAGAGTTGGACACGACTGAGCAACTGAAAACAACAAAATTGCTTTGATAGATTTTTATGTGTTGGACTAACCCTGCATTCCTGGAATTCTGTTTTATACATTTTTATCTTCAGAGACAGATACATTTTGGGCAATAGTTGATACTCAATGATAAATAAATGAGAAGAAAAATGAAATAATAGTAAGTAAAAATCACTACAGGTTTTAAGTTTATGATTGAAAGCAATGGATTACGTGTACCTGATCATTTAAACTAGTTTAGGAAAAGCCATTCAATAAAACAGAACTTAAATAGATTACATAAGTAAATAAAATAGTTCTATATATATATAAATGGTGTGAACATTCTTTTAATCAAAGCTGTTATGTGTGTGGTCATGTTCTTATTAAAATAATTTGTTTCTGCTAAAGTATTTGAATTATTTGATTCAATGAATGAGATCAGTCAGTGAATATAAATTATCGTATGTCAGTTGAAGTCCCACACTGACAGACATTGGACATACTATCTTAGGATGGGAAATCAAGCATAAAAATGTTACCAATGTTTTACTTCTATAAAGGTTAAAAGGTGAAGTCAGTTCAGTCAGGATACAAAGCAGAGATTCTGTCTTAATTGTGTGCAGTGGTATAAGCATCCAGGACTTCTCAGAAGAGCCTTATCAATAGACACAGTTTCAGGTGACATGTCTGTGTATCATACTGTTTGAAAGTTTATCTGCCCTCTTTAGGCCCAGTCTTATATAAATGAGGCTGTAGCAGACCAGAATACAGCCTTGCCTATATATATGAAGGACATTTTCCTAGCCACAGCCATCAGAGAAGAAAAAGAAATAAAAGGAATCCAAATTGGAAGAGAACTAAAGCTGTCACTGTTTATGGATGATATGGTACTATACATAGAAAGTCCTAAAGACACTACCAAAAATCTCCTAGAGTTTATCAGAGAATTTGCTCAAGTTTCACAGTGCAATATTAGTGACCAGGAAAGGCTCTTAACCAGGTACAGAGATGATCTAATCCTAGGAGATTCCGGTGGTGAAATTTCACAAGAATCTCTTTTAAGCACTACATAAGTTAAGTGAATCTTAGGCCATTATCGTCCATAGCTTTATGGTGAATCAAATTTAAAATTTTTACAGCTTAATTTCACATTTCAAATTTTTATATATCTCAGTTCAGTTGACCCTTGAGCAATACAGGTGTTAATCTGCTTATACTTATAGTCATCCCTCCATTCTGAGGTTCCCCTGCATCTGTGGATTCAACCAACTATGGACATGTTGTTTAGTTGCTCATTCGTGTCGGACTCTTTGCAACCCCATGGACTGCATCATGTCAGGCTTCCCAGTCCACCTATCCCAGAGTTTGCTCAAACTCATGTGCATTGAGTCAGTGATTGCCATCCAACCACAGGATGCCACATGTAGTCCTGTAATATTTACTGTTGCAAAATACCCACACTAAGTAGACCCACGTGGTTCAAACTTGTGGTGTTCAGTGGTCAATTGTAATTGTTAAAATATAAAAGAAATGACTGTTTGGGGTATGAAAATCAGAAATGTTTATTGGAAGAGAGAAGTCATTATCTCATGTATTTTTCTGAACGTAATTATGGTCCTAAACATATGGTCCTACACTTTAGGAAGTTGGTGTGCTTTCATAGCCAATATCCAAGATGCACAGCCAATAACTTACTGATCTTTCTAGATGTTCAAAATGTTACTGACTTTTTTTTTAAATTATGAAAGTACAACACATTTACAGGCGACTTGGAAAATACAGAACAAAGTTCCATATGCGTGTGTGCATGCTCAGTTGTCTCTGACTCTTTGTGACCCCAGGGACTATAACCTGCCAGACTCCTCTGTCCATGAGATTTTCCAGGCAAGAATACTGGAGTGAGTTATTGTTTCCTTCTCTTGGAGATCTTCCCAACCCAGGGATCAAACCCGTATCTCCTGTGTCTCCTGCATTGCAGACATGTTCTTTACCACTGAACCATCAGGGAAGCCCTATAAAACATACTGTTTTAACCATATTTAACTGTACAGTTCTGTGTCACTAAGTACTTTCATGTTGTTGTGCAACTCTCACCATCATCCATCTCCCGAATTTTTACCTTCCTAAACTGAAATTGTGTCCCTGTTTAACACTAACTCCCGACCCCCAGCCCCTGGCATCTACCAGCGTACTTTCCGATTCTGTGCTTTTGACTATTCTTGGTACCTTGAAGTACTACTGATATTTTTTTCATTGTTGTCTAAGCCCAACATGTTTATATTCTTTTGTAGTTGTCAGAGAAAGTTATAGAAACATAATCTGAAAAGATTGGAAAAAAAAATGCGCCTTTAGATTTTTCCCCTAATCTGTCCATTTTACTTTTTAATAGTTGTGACATACAAGGAATTCAGATTTCACTTTTTACCCTAATTTTTAAAATTCACACAAACTTTTCATTATTTCTGATGACCTTTGAAATTGCTACTTTGCAGCTTTAATCTTTTCTACTGATCAGTATATTTGATGCAGAGTTCTGAAATAAGCTTAACTACTTGGAAACTATGGACAGTCTTCTATAAGTATGGTCTGAAACAATTTTATTGTGTCTTTAAGTAGCATAGATTAAATGAACACAAAAGAAGATTTGTTAAGATTTGGTATAGTAGCATAGATTTTGCCCCTTTTTAAAATAATAATGGCTGATTTAGGTAGTTGATTCTGCTATGTAGCTATTGAATCACTAAACAGGAAGACTTGACTTCATATCAGTCTTCATATTTTGCAGATATTTCTAAAGAGAATATTTCCGTGTAATTTTATACTTCTTGTAATATTTGATGTTCAGAATTTTTAGTTTTGCTGTTTGTCCAAATTCCTCAGGCAGAAGGGGCAGCCAGCTATGGAAAGAGCAAAACAAGTAGAAGAGTTTCTACAGCGAAGACGGGAAGCAAAGCAGAACAAAGCTCGGGCCGAGGGGCATATGGTAGGATTTTGTTTTTGAGATTTTTGAACATAGTATTCAGAGTGAAGGTCTGAAACAAGGTAGGTATAAATAACAGGAGTCACCATCCTTTACAAACACTACCTCTCAACATTTGCAGAGTATTAAACCTCTCTTTGTGCTATTTCTTTTATGCCAAGTGTGAAGTTCTCTTGTTGCCTTAGTTAATTGAAAGTTCATAGCTGCATTCTTCCTTTTAAAAGAGTCAGAGTAGGTATAGCAACCCAGATATTTATGTTAAATAAGTTCTTACATTGCTTTTTTTTGGCCCTAGGTGCTTTTTGTTTTAAATACTTCAGCAAAGAATTGTAGAAGAAAAATGAGAAATAAACATTTGGATAAATATACATGTAACTATGCATTTATTCAAAAGCAAATTAGGACCAAATGTATTTTAAAACCTCTAATTATTCAGTCAGGCAACTGAATAAGTCATGCATTCAAGAAAATACAAACGGTTTTTAGATGATCATTTTAGTAGATGTTGGTTTTGACATGCAGAGGTACACAATGCCTTTTCACCTTTTGTCCACAGAACAAATGGTGATTGTTTCTGTCAACTCAGCACCCCGTGAAGCAGCACGCTTATGTAGGAAATAGGTCAATTGTATAGTTAAATGTTTTTTTATACTTACATCTTCTATAAGTTCATAAGTAACATCATTACGAGTTAATATAATTATTCCAAAATAGGATATTTTTTCTTTGAAATAATAATATTGAAAAACAGTAAATTTTTTAATGATTACCCTTTATATTTTTAACACCCATCAGCTTGTTTTTCTAGTATCTGTAATTAATCTGTATTTGTATCCTTTCTGTGGACAGAAGAGAACCTGCTTTGTTTTCTCTTGCCCCATTTCTCCCATGTTAACAGCATCTGGGATTTTAGTTACAGATATTAATTAGAAATATTTTCAAATGGTTATTAGACTTAGCAAGATTTACACATTTCTCACCTCAGAACTGTTCCTTACATCCCCTGTCCTCCCCTGCATTTATCGTCTTCATGATGGAGACGACTCTTGGAACTTTTCAGAGAGAAATTGTTGAAGATTTGTTGAAAATGTACTTATTTTGTCTTCACACTTAAATGTTTATTTGTAGTAGTGGTCTACTGGTGAATTTGCTTAGCATTTATATGTCTGAAAAAACATTTTGCCTTCTTTTTTGAAAAATATTTTTTCTGGAAATAGTATTATAGGTTGAGAGTTCTTTCTCTGTCCGTTCTTTAAAATGTTTCTCCACTTACATCCTGGCAGTCCTGTTCTGACCAGAAGTCTGCTGGCATTCTTACATTTTCCTCAGTGTTTGAGGTGTCTTTTCCTCTAATGGCTTTTAACATGTCCTCTTTATCACTGGAAGTGAATTGATTATGATATAGCTTGGTATACTTTTCTTCGTGTTTATTTTGTTGGGGTTCATTGAGCTTCTTGGATTTGTAGGTTTATAATATCAGATTTGAAAAAAATTCAGCCATTATTTCTTCAAAAATTTTTTTTTGTTCTACTCTTCTTTCTCCTCTGGGTGTTCATCAGCTCATTGATGCTCTGTGTATCTCTTTTTGGTCCTTTTCCTATGTTTCATTTTGGGTAGCTTCTGTTGCTAAATCTTCAAGTTCGCTAGTCTTTTTGTTTGGTTTTTGCAGTCTGCTTTCCTTTTAATCCCATCCAGATGTGTATTTTTAAGATAGTTTCTTTTTCTCTTAAAGTTTATTTGGATCATTTTTATACTTTCCATGTCTGTCTTTATAATACTTAGGCTTTTCTCTCCTTTCTTGAACATGTGGAATGTAATTATTATAGCCTTCTTAATTACCTTGTCTACTAATTCTGCTCTCTTTGTCATTTCTGAGTCTGTTGGCTTTTTTCTCCTCATTTTGGTCATCTTTTCCTGCTGCTTTACCCACCTGGTAATTTGTGGTTGGGTGCCAGGCACTGTGTATTTTATCTTGGATATTTTGTTTAACTGTGTGGAGACTTTACTGTGGGATACAGTGTTGTTAATAACAGTTTGAGTCTTTCAGGGCTTGCCTCTAAGCATTGCTGGGCAGGTGGAGCACAGCCTTTGATCGAGGACTCACTTGGCTGTACCACTGAGTGCCCTTGTGCTGTGGTACTGTGTGGTGTCCTCCAATGCTCTGTTGACCTGTAGGCCTTTCCAGTCTGCCTGTTGGAAGCGTGGCGTGTTCCCAGCCCTCAATGAGCCTGAGGAATTGGCGTCTTGCTCAGTTGCTCATTTGTGTCTGACTCTTTGCGACCCCATGGACTGTAGCCCACCAGGCTCCCCTGTCCATGGGGATTCTCCAGATAAGAATACTGGAGTGGGTTGCCATGCTGTCCTCCAGGGATCTTCCCAACCCAGGGGTCGAACCCAGGTCTCCTGCATTGCAAACTGATTCCTTACCATCTGAGCCACCAGGGAAGTCCAGGAACACTGGAGTAGTTAGCCTGTTCCTTCTCCAGAGGCTCTTCCTGACCCAGGATTTGGTGAGGTCAGATTAACTGCCACTCAGCAGGAGACTCAGAGGAAACCTCTGCAGCCTGCAGCACTCTCTCCCTGCAGGTGTCAGTGCTCCTCCACCTCCCGCGCTCTGACGGCCCTTTCCTTGGCTCAGGGGTGCCCTCTCCCTGTGCTGCAGCCTGGAAGTGGGCAGTGACTGAGCTTACCTCATTTGTTCTCCTCTCACAAGGATCACTGTCTTGTGCTGCCTGTTTGCCTGTGTTTGAAAATCATTGTTGCATATACTTTGTCCAGTCTTTCCTTATTGAAGGTGGGAGGGCACATCTGGTCTGTGTTACCAGCTGCAGGTGAAGTCTTGGATGGTGGTTTGCTGGATGAAGAATCCAGGTTGCAGACTCCCCCCAGACCACATTAAAGCTGCTGCCTTATCAGCATCTCATTGTGACTCATGAGCATGGTGACGATGTTCTTCGTGCTCCTCTGTAAGGGATTTTCATCTCTGAAACCATGTAGGACTGTTTTTTTCTACCTTTCATATTCTGAAATAATCACTTGAGTATTTATCAGTTTGTTTTTTTTTAATTGACCTGACTTGATGCTAATCACATGCTCTCATCTGAACACTCACCTTCAGTTCTGGTACATTCTCAGTTACCATTTCTTCAGGTATTGCTGCTCCTCCTTTTTTTCTTTGACAAAGCTCCTATTAAATGAATAGATTGGAACCTCTGCATCAGATGTCTTTTTTTCTGTTCTTCTGTTTCTTTTTTTAATCCCTTCCTCCCTTCTTATTGTTTTGGAAGGATTCCTAGCCCAAATTTCAGTTTGTAACACATTCTTTCATTTTGTCTGCTCTGCTCTTCAGCCTATCCAATGAGATTCTCTTAACTTTAGAAACTTGTATTTTCATGTCCATGAAGCTACTTAGTTTTCCTTGAAAGCTCCCTGATGATGTGTTCATTTCTCTCGTAGTACTCTAGGTATTGGTGCTCTCTTGGCAGTGTCGGTGTCTTCAGTGTTTAAATCTGTGCCCTCTTTCATGGTACTGGTGTTCCCTGCATGGTTGGTGTTCTTGCTGGTGTTTTCACATATGGGGCTCTCTGTTTCACTCGTCACTGCCTCTGTCTGGGTGGGCCCCTGGTGAGATGGTACATGCTGCTCTGCCCAGTTTTCCGTCAGAGTAGAGGCCAGGTGGGACACATTGCTATTCTGCCAAGCAAATCCCTGGCAGCTTATTTTCTGGGCTTTGGAGAGACCCTTCCTTCCTGATGTCACCAATCACCTGGAGCACCGGCCTGGCCTTTCCCTTCAACTCTCTTGTCATGAGTGTCTTCAGGGAGCTGCTGGGGAGAGGACAGTGTACCAGGCGAGCTCTTTGGAAGCATGTTGCCCCTGGCCCCTTTGCACCCCCACACTGAGGCCTCGCCCCACATGCTGTGCTCCTGTCACTTGTCATAAACCCATGTGTGTACTTGCCTAACCTCTGGGTTCCTTCCGTTCTTGAAACTGCCAAGAGCTTTGCTTGTTTTTGAGTGCTGATATGCATTCACTTAACACAGCAACTTCTCTAGTCTAGAATTTTTCAGGAAGAGAGGCCATGGTGTCATTCTGCCATCTTGCAGTCAAAAATTATTATTTTCATTTTGTTGTGTTATTTTTACTTTTATTTTTTTATTTATTTATTTTTTCATTTATTTTTATTAGTTGGAGGCTAATTACTTTACATCATTGCAGTGGTGCTTTAGGGACTTCCCTGGTGGTCCAGTGGTTAAGACAGTGCTATCACTGCGGGGGACGCAGGCTCAGTCCCTGGTCTGGGAGCTAAGACCCCACATGCTACATGGCCAGTTAATAAATAAATGCATCCAACTAAATCTTTAAAAAATTTTTGCTTTAGAGATAAGTGATTTTTATATGACTTTTCAAGATTCACTTTTTAACCTATTTAGAATTTCTTTGTTCCCTAGGTGACTATATATATATATATATATATACACACACACACACACACACATACATAAAACTAGAAAAGTGAAGAACTTTTACTTTTTGGTGTATTTGGGTGTGTACATTGTATATTACTTGTTTTATTCACTAATTAAATAACAAAGGCAGTGTGTTAAACACTTTGGGGACTGTAGGTTAATTAACTGATTGAAAACCACTAAATTAAAGCTTAACCAGACATAGTTTGTATCTGGAGTAGTTTAGAGTTCTGAGTTAGACAAGAACATGTACACTGGAGCCCAAGCCAGAGATCCAGGAGCAAGGGCTGAGTGGGGAGAAAAGGTCTCGCAGATTTTAAGTTCTAAATTGAAACATTTTTATGATGAGATAGAGGGCCTATTTAAAATTGATCTCTCCTTTCCCATGCTGTGTGACAAATTACTGTAAACCTAGGGGCCTAAGAGCAACAAAGATTTATGACCCACTGTTTCTCCAGCCTAAGACTCCAGCACATTGTGGTCGTCCTCTGCCCCTCCTCTCCTGAAGCCCAGGTAGTGGTGTCAGCGGCTGTG